ATAATATTCGCTTCATAGATTATATTGAGATTGGAAGTTAATTGAATGTATGTAAAATCCTTAGTGCAATACCCAAATAACATAGCTTAGTCCATTTTAACCGGTATTGTTACTTAAGAATTTTCAGTGAAGTACAAGACCCTAACCCTGATCCTAACATCTCTTCCAGTGTACTGTGAATAGACTATTTTTCTGTTAATAGACTTATAAAGTAAAAGTTAATTCTTAATACAAAGTTTCTCATTGGAATATTACTAGAAAGAGTAAGCATTATGACACAGTGACAACAGCCCTTGGATTGGTAATTTCAGGATATTAGGGATCGTGAAGGGGTCCCCACCACTCATTGTGTTCCTTTGGGCAAGTTAGCTTCTTCATCTCTAAAAGGAGAATATATCTACATAAGGTAATTTGGGAGCTTAAGTGAGATAATGTATGTTGAAGGCTTTCGTAAATTAAATAAAAAGTGAGTTGCTTTTATTAAATAATTCATCATCTTGGAGTTACTGAATTTCCATTTTTGGTCCCCAGAGTGTAATTAAAAGAAAAAAAAATTTTCTTTTTGGTAGAGAATTAACGCATAGTTAGGAAGAAAATTATTGTCCCACTGTTGCATATAGGCGCCCATATACTCATTATAGTTTGAGTACGTTTATTGTGTTTGCTATATTTTTATTCTGCTATGTTAAGGCTCTTAATATATTTTAAAAATAAGTCCATTTTAACATTGGGTAACTACTTCAAACTTAAAGTCAACATTTTTGTCCACAGATAAATGAACTTTATACTTAATTATACATAATTTAAGGGAAACTTACATTAAGTGTTTTATAACATTGGAAGAAAAGTAATCTTTGAATCTTTTAAGGGCTTACAAAAACAATTGTTTTTTAATTTCTCAATAGTTTTTTGACACTGCTGCTACCGTGCATAATAATTTTGATTCCTCACAAAGCTTTTTTTTTTAAATTTGAAAATAAAAAAATATATTCCCACTAATTTTATTTTGACATAATTTCAAACTAATTCTCAAATACCTTTCACCCATATTACTCAAATCACCTGACCTTTATCCTTTCCCCTTTTTCTCTATAGTTTTCTTCTGAAATGTTTACTTGTAAGTTTTGTGTGTGGTGTTCCTAAACCCCAAAATGTGTATTTCCTAAAAACAAGGACATTCTCTTATTTAACAACAGTACAGTGATCAAAATCACGAAATTAATATTGTTACAATCTAATCGGCAGGTCTTAATTGGATTTTCCTTGTAATTGTCCTGAATCGGTATTGCTTTTTTTTTTTTAAGTGTAATTGCATAAAATTCAGTCATTGTAAATTTATAATTCAACGATTTTTAGTCAGTGTACTGAGTTGTGCAACCATTACCCCAAAGGATTCCTCTTTCCTGTTTACAAGCCACTTCCTGTTCCCACTCCAACTCCAGACTATCACTACCTTTATCATTGAAAATGGTAAAAAAAAAAAAAAAAAAAAAGGCAAAGTGGAAATCTCAGAAAATTATTAGCCGCTTTTGGGAGACTCAAAACACTTTGATAACATGAGAAGCTTTCTTCTAAAAAAAAACTCTGGTTAAGCATTTCCCATTCCTTTGTGGACATGGAACACCTTTTTCCTAGAAGTAGTTTCTGAAGACTCCAGCAGTCTGGAAATTCAATTTGAGAAATGATGTTTTGAGAGGCTTGCTTTGCTTAGGTTGGGGAGGTTATGTCCTTTGTATCTTGCCAGGTTATAAGCAGAGCAGGCAGCAGTGCATGCTTCACTAATCTTTTATACTCAATGTAGAATCATTAGTTGGTGTATAACTATATAACTTAAAATTTGCTCTTTCGGAACTAGCAAAAATAATACTTAAAAAAGAACTGGGCACATATATATTTATTGAGTGAGTGAAGTTGTATAGGAATGTTTGCTGGGAAGAATCTATTGGTTCATTTGCCTTTTACGATTTCAGAAATTTGGCAGTGTCCTGATGGGGTTAGCCTCTAAGTCTGTCCCTGGTAAAATCTTTTGTTTCTATCAGGATAAATCTGCAATGGAGGAATGTGTATAAACAGTAATGGCATTCTCAGGAGTGCCATTCTGGAAAAAAGAATGGTTTGAAAGAGTAAAATGGAAAAAAAAAAAAGCAGAGTGTGTGCATATGTTGAGTGTAGAGATAAATCTTACTTAGAAGTCTGTTTTTTTTGGGGGGGAGGTATACCAAATTTATTGAGATAAAATTTACATGTAATAAAATGCACCCATAATTTCAGTGAATTTTGACAAGTGCATAACCCTGTATGTTTTTGTGAATTTTTGTACTTATCAGGTTAAAATGCTTCGACTCTTATTCTAAAAGTGAAGCACTACTGTTCAAATATTTTTAAAATGCTATTTAAATTTTTTCGATGCTACTAAAAATAATCTCTCTTTCTTTAAATCCCACACACATTCCCTTAGCAGTTGGCTACCTTCATAGTATATCCAGAATCTAGCAGCTTGTTACCACTTTCACTGTAACACCTATTTCAGGCCCCCGCTTGTTTCTGGATTATTGCAATCGTGTTTTGCTTCGACTTGGTTCTCCAGTCTTAACATAGTGACCAGGAATACTGTTAAAAATCTAAGCCAAATAAGAAAACCTTTAAATTGAAAGGTTTTTCTTCTTTAGAGGAAAAATAAAATTCTTTACACAGGCCTACAAAGCCCTATACTCTCTGAAGCTCTTCCCCAGTAATATTTTACATTTATCTGACTTTCCTCCCATACTGTACTCCAGCTGTCAGCCTAGCTATTCCTCCTGCAAGTACTCCATGCCCACCTCTGTATTCTCTTAGTTTGCAAGATTATTGCCTCAACTTAAAAAAAAAAAAAGATTAAAAATTTTTTTTTTACCTGAGAATGTTTATTGACTGTAGAGAGTAACTGTAGAGAGTAGCTCAGCGGTTGAGTGTTGACCCAGGAACTTAGAGGTGATCTGTTCAATTCCCAGTCAGGGGATATGCCCTGGTTGCAGGCTTGATCCTCAATGTGGGGTGTGCAGGAGGCAGGTGATCAGTAATTCTCTCTCATCGATGTTTCTGTCTTTCCCTCTCACTTCTTTGAAAATGAATAATAATAAAATAAAATGAAGTACTCCCTCTCTTCCCAACCTCTTTCTTTCTACAAAGTAACTATCAACTTTGAATATCTATATGATTTATTATAAGATTGATCAATTATAGGTAAAATCTGATTAGCTTTGCTTATGGTTATAAAACTTTATTCTCAATCATTTTTACATGTCAAAATATATAAAAAAAAATTGTTGAAATAAGTGGTTGAGGCTCCCATATTAGGATGTTTGAAATTGAATAATATTTTTTCTAGTGGTCACGAGAAATATTTGTTCTGAATGTCATGGAAGTGCTATTATCTTATTAAGATTGCCTCTACCTTTGAAGCTCAATTGATGAATAAGTTTTGAACAGTCTGAAGTAAAAGAAATATTTCATAGAAAAATTAGAAGTGCATAGAATGGATATATTGGCATATACTAAGATTAAACATGTCTGATGAAATTTAAAAAAAATTTTTTTTTGTGGTTGTTAATCCTCACATGAGGATATTTTTTCCATTTATAATTACTGTAAGGCTAGACACTGGGTCATTGCTAGCATATGGGAGCTAACTTTACCTGGCTTTTTAATAGATTTGTTTAATGAAATCCACAGAGTTAATTTGTTTACTCATTCATTTATTCAACAGGTATTAATACCAACTGCCCTCCTAAGAAAAGTGCTGAGATAGAATATTATAATACAAGAGCTTCTGTAAGTAGGACAGTAGCTGTCTCTATTTTAAAAGGAGATATACTCTTATAGAGTATTTGTTTTTATTTTTGGGCAAAAGTATTACAAATGGATTATTTAAAAATATAAGACATTTATAGTAAAATTAATTGGCATTTTCTCTTTAATTTAATTAAAAATATTTTATTGATTTTTTTTTTACAGAGAGGGATAGAGAATTAGAAACATCGATGAGAGAGAATCATCTATCAGCTGCCTTTTGCACACCCCCTACTGGGGATGTGCTTGCAACCATGGTACATGCCCTTGACTGGAATCGAACCTGGGACTTTTCAGTCCGCAGGCCGATGCTCTATTTATTTAGCCAAACTGGTTTCAGCCCCTTTTTAATTTATATTGATATCTACTTACTATTTATTTATTTAAATATATTTTTATTGATTTTAGAGAGTAAGGAAGGAGAGAAACATCAGTGATAAGAGAGAATCATTGATTGGCTGCCTCCTGCACACTCCCTACTGGGGATCGAGCCCACAACCCAGACATGTGCTCTTGACTGGAATCAAACCCGGGACCCTTCAGTTTGTAGGCAGACGTTCTATCCACTGAGCCAAACTGGATAGGGCTTTTTTTTTTTTTTTTTTTTTTAATCTTAGAGGAATGGGGGTGGGGTAAGAGAAACATTGATTAGTTGTTTGCTTATTAATGCATCATTGGTTGCTTCTTGAATGTGCCCTGACTGGGGATTGAACCCACAACCTTGGCATATTGGGACAATGTTTTAACCAACTGAGCAACACAGACCAGGGCGATTCTCTGTATTTGAATGATTACTATGTCCTGATGTTAAGATGTCCCTACCTCCAGGTTTGTAGTTCAGTGAGACATTTTTATACTCGAGGAACTGGCCAATACTGAATAAATACTGTGTAACTTCATAAATTAGTTTTCAGAAAGGTGCTGATATATATTAAAAAGTGAGTATATCAGAACACTTTTAAAAATAAGTGTTAGAAACCTTCTTGGATTCTGAGTTTGGTTTAAAAAGATTCATTGATATTTCGTATTTAATTTTGGATATTAACTGAACCTCAAAATTTTTTTCTTCCTTTATATGTATTCCCATATGATTGTAGGAGTCTATCCTGAACTTAGATCGTGTACATTTTGGGAACTTATTTTAGAAAAGATCTAAATTTTAAAAATTCTCAATGGACAGACAGAGAAAAGAGGGTCTTTGCCAACTCCTTTGGGTAAGAAAACTTTAGAATTTTGCAGATACTCTAAAAATGAAGGCCAACAAACCAGGCATATTGAATTGTAAAGTTTTCAAATAAAATGATTTCTCATGATTTCTCTTTTAGACATCTGCAGTAAGAATGTCTTTCCCCCCTCATTTGAATCGCCCTCCCATGGGAATCCCAGCACTCCCACCAGGGATTCCACCCCCACAGTTTCCTGGCTTTCCTCCACCTGTACCTCCAGGTAATTTTGTGAGTACTGTAGTTGTTTTAGCTTATACTTTAGTTTTCGCAGCATTTACTTTTAGGAAGATATGTGTGTTGTGACTGTTAGTAGTAAAGATGTCTGTTAACATCATTCTGGAAACGTGATGCTTCATTTTCCTATGGCAGAAATTTTCATATCTGACTTGAGTATAAACTCATTTGCGATGTTTTTAAAAAAAGTTACTTAAAAAGATAGTGGGTTCATGAGGTTCAAAATGAGAAAATACACAGTTAAAAAATTTATTACATTCCCACAAAATTATTTTTACCAACCTCTTAGGAGAAGGGGGAAACAAAGCAGGGTTATGAGTTTTTTCTTTGTCCTTCCAGATATTTTCTAATGCATATTGTAAGCCATGTAAGTATATATTATTTTATTCACCAGAGGGGTTTTTTAATTGATTTTTTTATAGAGAGAGGGAGAGAGAAACATTGATTTATTGTTCCACTTATTTATGCATCATTGGTTAATTCATGTATGTGCCCTACCCAGGAATGGAACATGTAACTTTGGCGTTTAGAATGATGCTCTAACCAACCAAGGAAGATACCTGGCCAGGGCTCCGTTAGTACTTTTTATTTTAACACAGATAGAGTATTATTCTATATACTAGAGGCCTGGTGCATGAAATTTGTGCACGGGTGGGGTCCCTAGGCCTGGCCAGCCATCAGGGCTGATCAGGTTCCCCACCTCCCTACCTCCTCCTCCCCATGCGCCCCGCTGCTAGTCCCCACCATGTTCTGCGCTGCCTCCTAATGGTCAGCGCACATCATAGCAAGCAATGGAACTCCAGATCTCTCAGTTGAACTCCTGAGGGGACACTTTGCATATTAGCCTTTTATATATACACTGGAGGACTAGTGCACGAATTTATGCACCCATGGGGTCCTTTTGGCTGGCCTGCAGGATCGGGCCAAAATCATCTCTCCAACATCTCCTGAGGGATCCCAGATTGTGAGAGGGTGCAGGCCAGGCCAAGGGACCCCATTGGTGCATGATGGGTACCAGGGAGAGATACAGTAAGTTGGCTAGCCAGGGAAGGATCATGGGAGGGCTCTAGGGTGTGTCTGGCCGTCTCACTCAGTCCCGATTGGCCAAACCCCAGCAGCAAGCTAACCTACCAGTTGGAGTGTCTGCCCCCTGGTGGTCAGTGCACATAGCAAGTGGTTGAGTGGCCTTAGCATATCATTAGGATGTTATGCTTTGATTGGTTGAATAGATGACTGACCACTTAGCATATTGGGCTTTTATTATATAGGATAGGGTAGATACTATTTTGCCCCCTCTTCCTTTTAATTGATTTGTAGAGAGAGTGGAAGAGAGAGAAATACCAATTGGTTGCCTCCCCTATGTATCTGCCCTGGCTGGGAATGGTGTAAGGGACAACGATCCGACCAACTGAGCCACACAGCCAGGGCCATTTAAAAAAAGGAATAAAAAAAAATATATATATATATATATGTGTGTGTGTGTGTGTGTGTGTATATATATATATATTTTATTGATTTCAGACAAGAAAGCAGAGGGAGAGAAGTAGAAACCACGATGAGAGAGACTCAGTGATAGGCTGCCTCCTGCATGCCCCACACTGGGCGGGGATCAAGCCTGCAACCTGGGCATGTGTCCTGATTGAGAATCAAACTGTGACCTCCTGGTTCATAGGTCAATGTGCCATGCAGGCCAGGCCAGTTTTTCTTTTATTAAAGAACCAGGAATAACAAGATTCTTCCTAGGTTATCAGATTAATTTATCATTTGATACTTAAAGAAAAAATTTGAAAGGATTTATTTCACTTTTTTCCCCCTTAATCGTCCTCTGAGGATATTCTCCCCCCCCTTTTTTTTCTTTTAAAGAGAAAGTGGGAGGGAGGTGGAAAGACAGAAACATCATGTGAAAAAGCCACATCAATTGGTTGCTTCCCACACCTGCCCCAACCCAGGGCAAGGCATGGAGCATGAAACTAAGGTATTTACCCTTGACTGGAATTGAACCCGTAACCCTTCTGAATAACCACTGAGAAAAACTGGCTAGTGCTATTTTTTACTTTTATAGGATTCGTTAATATTGTTAATCCATAAGTGAATCTGTATTCGTGATAGTGCTGGTTTTGAGGGTGTACTGAATAAAATGAACATGAATAAAAAACTATCAAGAATTTTATATTCCTTAAGTCAAAAGCATGTTGTGGTAGCCTTATTACTTTAAAAGTAGTTTATTTTTTGTATTTTTACATAGAGGAAGAGAGAGGGATAGAGAGTCAGAAACATCGATTAGAGAGAAGCATCAATCAGCTGCCTCCCACACCTTCCCCACTGGGGATGTGCCCGCAGCCAAGGCACATGGTCCTGACTGGAATCGAACCTTGGACCCTTCAGACTGTAGGCCGACGCTCTATCCACTGAGCCAAACCAGTTTTGGCAAGAGTAGTTTTTTGTTGTAGGTAAACTTACATAGATTGATCTGATACCACATTGCTTTTGAAAGTAAGATGTTCATCAGTATCTCATTAGTTCTCCATTTCTACTCAAATTAACTATGAGTGAGCATCTATAATAACAAAAGCATAATTTGCTAATTGGACTGGTCAGCCAAATGACCTTCTGGACATCATTCTGGGTGTCCTATTGGACGAAGGCGCCTCGGCGAGGGCCACAGCAGAGGCCATTAGGGGCAATCAGGAAGGGATGACAAGTGGTTAGGGACAACCAGGGAGGCAGGCAGGCAGGTGAGCAGTTAGGAGCCAGCAGTCCTGGATTGCAAGCGGGATGTCTGACTGCCGGTTTAGGCCCGATCCTGTTCCTGAGGAGGGTCCCCAATTGTGAGAGGCTATAGCCCAGCTTGAGAGACATCCCCTCTCTCCCCGTGTATGAATTTCATGCACCAGGCCTCTATACTTGCATATATGGCATGTAATTGATGATGGAATACAGTCATATAATTGTATGCTTACAACTGGCTATGCTTTTTCCTTAGGAACCCCAATGATTCCTGTACCAATGAGCATTATGGCTCCTGCACCAACTGTAAGTATAATTTTTAAGTAAGTAAATTTTTTACTTATTGTTGATTTGAGAGAGAGAGAGAGATTTGTTTTTCACTTATTTATGCATTCATTGGTTGATTTTTCTATGTGCCCTGACTGGGTATCAAGCCCTCAACCTTAGCGTATTGCTACAGGGATCTAACACCTGGGTTACCCATCCACGGCTGTAAGTATAATTAATTTTAAGGAGGAAATTAGGAGATATGTGAGTGCTTTTATTTATTTGTTTTTAAAATATATTTTATTGATTTTTCACAGAGAGGAAGAGAGAGGGATAGAAAGTTAGAAACATCAATGAGAGAGAATCATCAACCAGCTGCCTCTTGCACACCCCCTACTGGGGATGTGCCCGCAACCAAGGTACATGCCCTTGACGGGAATCGAACCTGGGACCTATCAGGCCGCAGGCCGACGTTCTATCCACGGAGCCAAACCGGTGCTGGCATGTTAGAGCTTTTAAAACTAAAAAGCTTGATAAACTTAGATAAATTATTTTAAGCATTTAAAAGAATAGTAGGAAGGATGTGGTCATTCATTTTTATCACACTACTTACTTGATTAAATAACATTTTCACTCAACTGTGCATATATGTAGTTGTTCCTAAAATTGCTCCCCAGATAGTTTTATGGTTTCTCTCTCATTCTCTAGATTCATTTACATATTAGTTCAGATTTGGCACATTGGCTTTTTCATTATTTCTTATGTCTTGGTTTCTAGAGATAGAAGAATGATATAACATATATGATCTCTTAAAAGAATGTAAGAATTATTTTAGCAGAAATGTAAGTTATGAAATGAAATTTGTGTTAAATATTCTTTTCCTCCTACTTACCTAATATTTAGCTTTTTCCGAGCTATTTTTTTCCTGTGTCTTCTAGTATGATACCTTCGAGCTTTGTAGTTTTACTGAAGCCTTTCCTCTGGGGAAGTGTTTCATTATTTAGTCTTAGGTCTTGAATCTTAATTCTCCACATTCATCAAAGCTTCTGTACACTTGTTTTTTTTAAAATATATTTTATTGAGTTTTTACAGAGAAGAAGGGAGAGAGATAGAGCTAGAAACTTCGATGAGAGAGAAACATCGACCAGCTGCCTCCCACACACCCCCTACTGGGGATGTGCCCGCAGTCAAGGTACATGCCTTTGACGGGAATCGAACCCTGGACCTTTCAGTCCACAGACCGATGCTCTACCACTGAGCCAAACCGGTTTTGGCGGGGAGTCCAGCTTTTCTTGCATTAGACACCAATGTTTGGTCATTTTGGAAAACATCCACATGATAGGTACTCTTACTTTCTTACATTTCAGTCTAGAAAAGACAGCATTTGGATTTTGGAGCAGCTCTCCCAGTTCACCAGTATTTATTCAGTGTTATTGTGGGTACTTTGCTAAATTCACTTCCAGATAAAATGATGACTATTTCTTCCTTTGGGAAGTTGAAAGTTAAAGGGATAATAAGCTAGAAATTCAAGAAAGTGATAAAGGGTACATTCTAAGTGTGGAGGAGTGCTATGGGAGTATTTTGAATATTTTATAAGAGGACTAGCAGGGATAATTGAAACTTTTATACTAGTACAGAGTAAAGTTATGAAGAAACTTGTGAATGTAGTTGATAATTTTAAAAGATTTAGGGTGTCTTAAAGATAAAGTTTCCAAGTTATTTTTGCTTTTCCAAGTTTTTAAAGGTAATTTAAGAGTGGGACTTTTCTTGTCATGAATGTTGATATTAATGAAAAATGCAGTGAGCTTTAGATTAAGTATGTAGACCTTTTAATGTGCTACATAGAGGATGGTGCAAAAGTAGGTTTACAGTTGTTAAGTGCATGAAACAGCTTATTCTGGTATTATCTATTAGTATTTTCCATACAAACTACTGTAAACCTACTTTTGCCCCACCCTGTATTTACTAATTTAACATTGGTGATTTTAGCCTAATGTTACATTAAACATGATAGGAAGTTTAATTGCCAGATCAAATTTTATTGCCTTTCTTAATTCTAGGTCTTAGTACCCACTGTGTCCATGGTTGGAAAGCATTTGGGAGCAAGAAAGGATCATCCAGGTTTAAAAGTAAAGGAAAATGATGAAAATTGTGGTCCTACTACTACTGTTTTTGTCGGCAACATTTCTGAGAAAGCCTCAGACATGCTCATCAGACAGCTTCTTGCTGTAAGTTAAACTGTTTATTTTATTTTTTTAAAATAAGTTTTTATTGTTCATATTATTACAAATGTCCCCCCCCACCACCATTGCTCTCCTCCACCAGGTTCCCACCCCACCCTCAGCCCTTTCCCCACCCCACATTGTCCTCATCCATAGGTGCACAGTTTATGTTCAGTCTCTTCCCACGCCCCCCTCTCCCCTTTTCCCCAAGAATCGTCAGTTCACTCCCCTTCCATACCTCTGATTCTATTATAGTCAACAGTTACTATTGTTCATCAGATATTTTTTTTAATTTCCTTGGTTTTTAGATTCACTTGTTGATAGTTACGTATTTGTTGTTCATAATTTTTGTCTTTGTTTACTTTCTCTTCTGAAAGAACCCCCTTCAGCAATTCATATAATTCTGGTTTGGTGTTGATGAACTCCTTTAGCTTTTTTTTAATTTTAATTTTAATTTTTTTAAAATATATTTTTATTGATTATTCACAGAGAGGAAGTGAGAGGGATAGAGAGTTAGAAACATCGATGAGAGAGAATCATCGATCAGCTGCTGCTTGCACACCCCCTACTGGGGATGTGCCCGCAACCAAGGTATATGCCCTTGCCTGGAATCGAACCCGGGACCTTTTAGTCTGCAGGCCGACGCTCTATCCACTGAGCCAAACAGGCCGACGCTCTATCCACTGAGCCAAACCGGTCCCGGCTCCTTTAGCTTTTTTTTTATTAGTGAAGCTCTTTATCTGGCCTTCGATTCTGAGTGATAGCTTTGCTGGATAGATTATCTTTGGCTGTAGGTTCTTACTATTCATCACCTTGAATATTTCTTGCCATTCCCGTCTGGCCTGCATGGTTTCTGTTGAGAAGTCAGCTGACAATCATATAGGTGCTCCTTTATAGGTAACTATCTTCTTTGCTCTTGCTGCTTTTAATATTTTCTCTTTGTCTTTTGTTTTTAAGTTTTTTTGAATTCCTAGATTTATCTCTTTTCTGCCCTTTATTTCATTTCCACTTTTTTTTTTAAAGTAATTAGTATCATTTTTATTTATTTTAAAAAATATATATTTTATTGAGTTTTTACAGAGAGGAAGAGAGAGGGATAGGAAGCTAGAAACATCGATGAGAGAGAAACATCGATCAGCTGCCTCCTGCACATTCTCCACTGGGGATGTGTCCGCAACCAAGGTACATGCCCTTGACCGGAATCCAACCTGGGACCTTTCAGTCAGCAGACCGATGCTCTGTCCACTGAGCCAAACCGATTTCAGCTCTACCTTATTTAAAATTTTTTTTTTTTAATTGAGAGAGACAGAAACATCTATTTTTTTTTTGTTCTATTTATTTATGCATTCATTGGTGGTTTCTTTTTATTTTTATTTTATTTTATTGATTTTTTTACAGAGAGGGAGAGGGAGAGTGAGTTAGAAACATTGATGAGAGAAAAACATCGATCAACTGCCTCCTGCACATCCCTAACCGGGATGTGCCCGCAATCAAGGTACATGCCCTTGACCGGAATCGAACCTGGGACCTTTCAGTCTGCAGGCGGACGCTCTATCCACTGAGCCAAACCGGTTCCGGCTCATTGGTGGTTTTTTATATATGCACTGGCTGGAGATGGAACCTGCAACCTTAGCATATTTGGATGGCGTGCTACCCAACTGAGCTAGCTACATGGCCAGGCCACTCCCCTCCCACCCCCCGTTTTGTTGACCTGTAGATCTCCGTGACTATAGAATCACTTTAGCCTTTCTTTTTACCAGTATCTGCCTCTGTAGACACTTGGAGTTATAGCTTTCTTTGCTCTATAGGATGAGTTACTATCCATTTTGTTTGTTCAAAATTTTGTTGAATTTTGCTGCTGTTTCTCATGCAATGTTAGACTTCTAGTGTTTTTAACTTTTGTATTATTTTAAAATCAGTAAAGAGAAACAAATATTATTTGATTATCATTTTAGTGGTTTCCCTGAAGAAACCACTAAAAAAAATTATTTGTAGAAAATCTTTTTTTTTTAATATGTTATATTGATTTTTTACAGAGAGGAAGGGAGAGGGATAGAGAGCTAGAAACATCGATGAGAGAGAAACATCTATCCATTGAGCCAAACAGGTTTCGGCTAGAAAATAATTCTGTTCAAGCTAAATTTATATTCAGCTTTGACAGAATTATTTTCTACAAATAATTTTGTAAACATTTTGTTTTTTAATAATTAGAAATAATGTTTTAAAATTAAAAGGAGAAAAGTTGTAACGAAGTCCCACCCTTCACACAACCTGCCCCTTAGAATTTTGGAATATTTCTGGTATTTTATGAAAATTAACTTTTTTCATAATTAAAATCTTACTGTATATCTGCAATTTCTTGTCCCATGTTTTGCATTCCATATTAAGCACTTTTGCATGTTACTAAAACTTTTTAATATATACATGTATTTTAAAATGAAATTTTTTTAAAAAATATATTTTATTGATTTTGTACAAAGAGGAAGGGAGAGAGATAGAGAGTTAGAAACATCGATGAGAGAGAGTCATCGATCAGCTGCCTCTTGCACACCCCCCACTGGGGATATGCCTGCAACCAAGGTACATGCCCTTGACCGGAATCGAACCTGGGGCCTTTCCGTCCCCAAGCCGACGCTCTATCCATTGAGCCAAACCGGTTTCGGCTAAAATGAAATCTTTGTGGATTTAATTGAATTTACTATAGTTGTAACTATTATAATTTGGGCATTGACATATATATATTTGTAGGATAAGTAATGCTGTAAAATTTCTAATTTATTAAACAAGTTTCTGCAAATAAAAATCAGTAAGAATTTATATTTTTCTCTGAAATTGTTATATATTTCTTTCATATAGATTTGTAGGAACTGAGAATTTTAAGAAACTTAGTTACTAATAAGATATTTTTCTTTTTTGCTTCTATTTTCTTAGTGGCAATTCAGTTGTGCTAATATTTGCATTATAAGTTAATTTTGTTAAGTGGTAACCAATGTGTTGTTTTTTTTCCTTTTTAAGAAATGTGGTTTGGTTTTAAGCTGGAAGAGAGTACAAGGTGCATCTGGAAAACTTCAAGGTGGGTACATTTTTCTTAGTTCGATCATTAAGTAATCACTGGCTTCTTTCATCTCACTTTTCACATATAGTAATTTCAGATGTTCTTAGGATATGTGACACTAAAAATGTATGGTAAAATTTAGTGTTTTAAGTTCACTCAGAATAGTTTATAATTATGTCATTAACTACATAAATATTTGGATTTATTTGTTAAATTTTACTTCTAATTTTCAGGATACTCTTTAAGTTTAATTTTGTTCTGATATCTGATATAAAGGCATGTAGTAATAGAAAGAGTAGTTATTAAAATGGAAGATACAGAAAAAATTAGATGAATATAATCACATAAGAGATTGTTACTTTTATAGTTTAACTTCTCAGAAAAATGTTGTATTTATGTTAAAGCAGCCTGCTCTCATTTATAGCTGTTAGGAAGTCTGGATAGAATGAGTTCATGATATAATTAACAATCATTAAATGCGCTGATTTCGTTAACTATTTTATCAGCACTTCTAATAAGTAGTAATTTGCCTGATTAGAATTTTTCTTTTCCCCTGTTTTTGTTTTTATTTTTTCTGTTAAGGGTGCAACAGTGAAACCCTTTTCAAAGGAAATTGAAGGAAAGGGCAGAGTGACAACATGAATATTCCTTGTATTATAATATTTGGTCTCTTAATGATTTTAACTTTCCATAAATACTCTTCATCTTTCATTATTATAGTGATATTTTACTAATTCTTTATGTCTATTGCTAGCCTTTGGATTCTGTGAGTATAAGGAGCCTGAATCTACCCTCCGTGCACTCAGGTTATTGCATGACCTGCAGATTGGAGAGAAGAAACTACTTGTTAAAGTTGATGCAAAGACAAAGGCACAACTGGATGAATGGAAAGCAAAGAAGAAAGCTTCTAATGGGGTGTGTTTTCTATAGTGTTAATCTTCTCTCAGCCAAATATACTCTTTCAGTGCAAATGCGTATTATAAGTGCATCTAATATGGGGCTTTACAATCCCATCGTGCCGGTGAATACTAACATGTAGGAAGGTATTTTATAGTTTATAGTTATTTTAAGTTTTTTATCTACCCGTTGTGGGTGGATGACTGTTGATTTGCTTGTTCCAGGTTGGGATGAAGGTAGTAAGGGAGGCTGGACAAGGTTAACTTGCCAGAGAAAACATTGGTACAGACTATTCCAAACAGAGCTAATTCATTAAGGCAGCTTTGTAAGTAAGTACAAAATATATTTCAATCTACACAACTTTTATTAGTTGCCCTCTCTTAGGAGTACACAGGTTCTAAAATACTGAAAATAAGTCGTATTATTTTCCTCAGGTGGATGACTATATAAAGCATAAAGCTAACCTAAAGAAAAGGAATTTTTATTATTGTAATGTATGCATTATCTCAACAAAGCAAAAAATAGCTAAAATCTGAGTATGTGTTTTATTATTCCTTACTATTAGGTCTAGTAATAATTAATGTCGTTTTCTAATACTTTTTTAAATCGAATTTATTTAAACAATACAACAAAATTTAATCAACAGTATAGTTGCCGTTGTTTTCTACTACTTGTGCCCAACGCTCAGGAAGCATTTTAATCCCTCTGTTGTAAAATTCTTGTCATTTTGATGCAAAAAATTCGGTCAATGCATTTTTGAGGCATTCTTCATTATTAAATTTTTTTCCAAGAAGAAAGTTTTGCAAAGGACGAAACAAATGGTAATCGGAAGGGGCAATATCAGGAGAATATGCAGGTTGAGGGAGAACTTCCCATTCCAACTGGCGCAGTTTTTCAGCAGTGATTCTTGCAGTATGCGGTCATGCGTTATCGTGGTGAAGAATTACGCCCTTCCGATTACCATTTGTTTCGTTCCGGGTTCTTTTTCTCTTAAAGCTTGGGCTAACCTTTCCAGTTGGGCACTATACACTGCACTTGTAATGGTTTGGTTAGATGGTAAAAGTTCCTAATGAAGAATTCCTTTAAAATTCCACCAAACACACATCATCACTTTTTTCGCATGTAAGTCAGGTTTTGGCGTGGGCTGCAGAGCCTCATTTTTGTCCAACCATTGAGGCCGCCTTTTCAAATTAACATACAGCACCCATTTTTCATCTCCGGTAACAATTTGCTCTAAAAACGGCAAACGGTTTTGACGAGAGAGGAGCGAACTGCAAATTGTGACTCTTTGATTACGGTTGTTGTCGGTCAACTCATGAGGAACCCATTTTCCAAACTTTTGGACTTTGCCAAGTGCACGCAATTGATTGGCAATTGTTTTTTGTGAACAATTTAAAGTTGTCGCAAGCTCTTGTTGGGTAATTTGAGGATTTTGCACCAAAAGAGCTTGAAGAGCTTCTTGATCAAAATTGGACACACGGCCTCGACCACTCTTGTCATCTAACGAAAAATTTCCCTCGCGAAATTTCTCAAACCAACGCTGGCATTTTCTGGCGCTAACTGCATCTTGACCAAGAGCACTACAGATGTTTTTTGCAGCCTCACTTGCTTTTCTTCCTAATTGGAACTCGTAAAGCATGCAGTGCCGAATATGCTCTTCATCCGCCATCTTCTTAGCCCTAGTTTTGCAACAAAAACCCAACCAAACACAAACTTTTTCAAGCAAAACTTGTTACTTGCACTTCACACGTTCTGTAGATACCACGTGTTTGAAGGTTATGTCAATACAAGTCAACGCCAAGCAAGATTTTAAACGAATGTTTAAAAACGACATTAATTATTACTAGACCCGGTACTTCCTTTTGGCACCTCAAGCAGACCAGATCCACTCTAGATTTATTATTATCTTTCTGTCTCTACAAAAACAAAACAGCCGTTTGCTCTCTTCAAACTTTTATTACCTTTTAAAACAGAAATAGCTTTCTTGTATATTCTTTGTAAAAAAGATTAATCAATTCAAGCAAACTATAAAATGCAATTATCACCCAGATAATCCCATCACCTTTGGTAACAATTGTAGACATTTTGTTTTGTTTTTAAAATTTTTTAAAAATATATTTTATTGATTTTTTTTACAGAGAGGAAGAGAGAGGGATAGAGTCAGAAACATCGATGAGAATCATCGATCAGCTGACTCTTGCGCACCCCCTACTGGGGATGTGCCCGCAACCAAGGTATATGCCCTTGACCGGAGTCAAACCCGGGACCTTTCAGTCTGGAGGCCGACGCTCTATCCACTGAGCCAAACCGGTTTCGGCTGACTATATTTCTAAAACATAATTATAATTATTTCTACTCCCCACTCATCCATCCTTAATGGTTTTGAATTTCTTAGTGTTCCCCATTCATTCCCTTTTATTCAGTCATGTATTCATAAAACCTTATTTGTGCTTTGCTGACATCTCAAGTCCTTGTTGCCCATCACATAGTATAATTAAAATGTTACTTGCTTCATCATATTTAACCCTTGATTCTTCTCGGGCAGAATTAAATTCTCTCTATCAAGCAGGTTTGTACTTCTGTTAAAGTATGTCTGCTTTATAGTATATGTTGTTTGTTCTTCCTCTCTCACTGCCTCTTATACCCAGTTTCTTTCTCCTGTCCTCCATTCTCTGATTACAAGATAGAAAGGGCAGTAAGTTCACAGAGTGTGTCCTTTTATCTTGTACTTCCCCAGAATGTAGTACTGTATAATGTCTTGGCCCTAGCAAAAACGGAATAAGCATTTATTGAATTAAAAAATGCACAATTTTTTGTGTGATACACTTAATTTGTAAATCACCATTAGCCAGAGCCAATAGAATTTTAATTTTTGTATATCTTTCTTCAAAAATGGAAATAAAGCCACCTCCAATCAGCAATTTTTTTTCAGATGAATTGAAATTTTAAAAAATAGGCATGATTCTTATGTACACTTGGAATGGTTCCCAGGTGTTTGAAGTCATAAGACAAAGTACATTATTTTTCCTGAAATGTCAATTTTCCTCAATAATGTGAATTTTAAAAATGTCAAGCAGCTGTCAGAAAAAAAACTTTTAGTAACTTAGGCAAGTATAACTAGTGTGGAGTAGATTGTAGATTTGTCATGATTTTCTAAGATAAAAAATGAGAGGTTACTTGTTTTTACTCCATTGATTTGTTGGAAAAATTTAGAAAATAGTGGCTTAAAGTGAATGATAGGAGAATAAGTCTTTGAGAAACTTGTATATTACTTTATTCAGGCATTTTTAAAAATATATATCTTATTGTTTTTTTACAGAGAGGAAGAGAGAGGGATAGTGAGTTAGAAACATTGATGAGAGAGAAACATTGATCAGCTGCCTCTTGCACATCCCCTACTGGGGATGTGCCCGTAACCAAGGTACATGCCCTTGACGGGAATCGGATCCGGGACCCTTGAGTCCACAAGCCGACGCTCTATCCACTGAGCCAAACCGGTTTCGGCTATTCAGGCATTTTTGTAACTCCCAGGCAGAAAGGATAAATACAGTTGGGTAGTTCGCTTTGACTAAAACAAAACAAAATACCATAATCTTGTCTAGAAAGAGATTTTTCTGACCCAGGATTTTAACAGGATTCTATGTCTTGTCTAATGGCTTGATTGAAAGTTTTCATTTAGATTCTCCTCCTTCCCCCCCCCAATTTGTATAAGCAATTCTTTCACTTTTAGTAAAATTAGTTCATTTTGCTGATCTATTTCATGTCCTGTTGCTTTTTGGCTGTTCAGCAATAGAAGTAGAGCTTTCTGCTTGGATGTCACAGTTAGTGGTTGTTAACATTCAAGAATGAATTTTTAAAAATTTATTATATATTTTTCAAATATATATTTTATTGATTTTTTTTACAGAGAGGAAGGGAGAGGGATAGAGAGCTAGAAACATCGATGAGAGAGAAACATCAACCAGCTGCCTCCTGCACACCCCCTATTGGGGATGTACCCACATCCAATGTACATGCCCTTGACCAGAATCGAACCTGGGACCTTTCAGTCCACAGACTTGACGCTCTATCTACTGAGCCAAACTGGTTTCAGCAAGAATGAATTTTGAGAAGTGTTGAAAGTACAGATATCTCTGGGAGGAGACCCTTATATTACACTTTAATTAATAGATGTTATAGGTAGGAACATCTTCTTCACATCTTTGCCTGTTAATTAGTTTGGCCAAATCTAATTTCCTCAAAAGAAAGAGCTCTGCATTTGCTTAAGTTCCCAAAGAAGTTCTTGTTTCGGATTCTAGAAGTCAGTGCCAAAGAAGCCTAGTAGAGCTGTTTTCCAACTTTAAACCAGTAGCTTTACTATTGAAGTTCCTAGTTTTTCTGAAAAGTGCTAATTTTGTTACTTTTTTTCCACACTTCTCCACCATTTTAAGTTTTAAGAAGAAAGGAATTAAGAGTAACGAGAAATTACCCAATGTTTTGAGGCAGTTTCTAAATTTTGTGGTTTGAACTAGATTAATTCCTTAAATGGGAGATTTGAAATAAAACCTAGAAACGATAATAGTAGTACCAAATAGAAGCCAATAATTTTTTTCATTATCAACATAAGTAACAATCTAAACTTCTCTAAAATATAATGAAGTTTTACAAAATGTATTTTATTGAGATTTTACAGAGAGGAAGGGCGAAGGATAGAGAGTTAGAAATATCGATGAGAGATATACATCGATCAGCTGCCTCCTGCACACCCTCTACTGTGGATGTGCCTACAAGGAACATGCCCTTGATGACTGGAATCGAACCAGGGACCCTTGAGTCCACAGTCCAACGTTCTATCCACTGAGCCAAACCAATTAGGGTTAGTTGCTTATTTTTGAAGATTACAACATGAGTTTTGTGTTTTTATAAATGTTACATGTGCAAGTCATGGGAATAAAGACTGGTGCAGTATTTAGAGTTGATATTTTTCTTAGTATGTATATGATTTAAAAATATATATTTTTAAAATTGATTTTTAGAGTGAGGAAACGGGAAGGATAGAGAGAGAAAAACATTGATGCTATAAGAACATTATCAAATGGCTACCTCCTGCACACTCCACAGTGGGGATCGATCCTGCAACCCGGGCGTGTGCCCTGGCTGGGAATTGACCTCTTGGTGCCTGGGTTGATGCTTTACTGCTGAGCCACACCAACTGGGCAGTATATGATTTTTATAAGTGGTATTTCCACATTATAGATATTTTAGAGAGCAGAGGTGGAGGGAAAGAAACCACTGTTCCACCTCTGACCCATCTGATGCTTGCATTTAATTGTATAATACCGTCTAGTGTTTTTTTGTTCCTTTCACCTGTGCTTTCTTTTTTAAAAAAATATATTTTATTGATTTTTCACAGAGAGGAAGAGAGAGGGATAGAAAGTTAGAAACATTGATGAGAGAGAATCATTGATCAGCTGCCTCTTGCACACCCTCTACTGGGGATGTGCCCGCAACCAAGGTACATGCCCTTGACTGGAATTGAACCTGGGACCTTTCAGTCTGCAGGCCGATGCTCTCTCCACTGAGCCAAACTGGTCCCGGCTCACCTGTGCTTTCTTATTTTAAATAGTAGCTAGCATAGTGTACATAAAATTATATTTTGTTTTTTTCACATAATTAAATTTTCAACTGTTGAGTTAGGATATATTCTTAGTTTGTGCAAGTATTGAGCAAGACTGTGAAAAATTGGGGAAACTTGGCAGATGTTTTGTGCATTATGTTAGTCCTATGATTTTATCTTTCTGTAGCTGGGTAGGAGTTAAAATATTAGCTACCACTGAGACTGGTTTTGCTCAGTGGATAGAGCATTGGTCTGTGGACTGAAGGGTCTCAGGTTCGATTCCAGTCAAGGGCATGTACATTGGTTGCGGGCACAGCCCCATTGGGGGGTGTGCAGGAGGCAGCTGGTCGATGTTTCTCTCTCATTGACATTTTGGCTCTCTGTCCCTCTCCCTCTCTGGAAAATCAATAAAATATATTAAATACACACACACACACACACACACACACATATATATATATATATACATATACATATACGTATACATATACATATACATATATACACTACCAAGGGAGAAAGGGAAAGAAATGAGGAAAGTTTATTTTATAAAGCTAAGCAAAATCAAATCTGCATTTAGTAGAACCCCAGAGATGTGTTTATTTTTTTTTAATTAAAGATCATTTGTTTTTATTTCACAGAGGGAAAGGGAGAGTGGGAGACATCAATGATGACAGATAATTATCCATCTGCTGCCTCCTGCATGCCCCCAACTGGGGATCGAGCCTACAACCTGGGCCTGTGCCCTGATCAAGAATCATACTAGTAGCATCCTGGTTTATGGGTCAACGTTCAACCATTGAGCCACTCCTCCCAGGCAAACTACATAAATGTTTAAGAAAAAAACATGTTTGTTCTGAGTACTAACCCTTAGAATGTTTTCCATTTTTCACGGTTGATTCTTCCCACCCCACCCCACCTTCTGACGTTGCCTTGTTTTCTGTTTTGTTTTAAGACTGCCAGGCCAGAAACTGTCACTAATGATGACGAAGAAGCCTTAGATGAAGAAACTAAGAGAAGAGATCTGATGATCAAAGGGGCTATTGAAATTTTAATACGTGAATACTCCAGTGAGCTCAATGCCCCTTCACAAGAATCTGACTCTCACCCCAGGAAGAAGAAAAAGGAAAAGAAGGAGGACGTATGTGTTACTGAATTCTGACAACAGTCATTTCTACATTTTACTTTTTATGATGCCACTCTTGTGCTTTCACTACATTTTAACTTTTGAGAGGAAAATAGAATGACTAACATTTACAATAATTGTACTGTTAAGCCTAATTTGACATGTTCTTTCAATTAACTCCTCATAATTTGGCAAAAACATTTCTGTTTTCTGTGTCTAAAATGCACTGGCATTATAGCTTGTGCTTAGCTGTGGATTCAAATTCAGTGAGGAAAAAATGACCTTTAGTGATGAAATGTAGGCATTGATGTTAAGGGGTAAAGTAAAATGTTTTTGTTTGACTATGAAGGACTGGCTTTGTTTTGCCTAATTATTGTTTAGTCTCTGCTCCAAGCAGGATGTTGGTCTCCTTCACTAAAGATTTTTACCCATTCTTTAATTTTTAGCTGTGTCTCCTTATAACCACGTCTCATTCCCCTTCATGGACAGTAATGCTGTTTAAATTCTAGCTGGAAGACTGTCAAAGAGCAGCACAAGATGAAACACTCTTCTGCAGTGTATTATATTATCACTACTCTGTCTGACCAGGCTAATTGAACATTAGGGAGTCCAGGTTGAAATAAAATGTTTGGTTTTCTTACTTCTTTCAAATAAACAGAGAAGTTATGGGGAGTGTTTTAAAAATATATCAGAATTATTCTATATGCATGGATTGCATATATGTGAAAAAGTAATGTGGAATATATTGTGATTTAATATCAAAGTTCATATTATTTAGAATTTCATTGCCTTATTAGGCAGCTTCACTTTTCTTTGTGGCCAAATACATTTTTATTATTTGTCTCATTCTTTATGACATGGTCTGGTGAAATGCCGATAGTTGGGTATGGTAATTGGTAGAGTTAGTCAGGCATAGGGTAACTGAGGTTAATGGGAAAGGAGAAAGTAACTAGACATATATGTTGGATATAGATCGGGAATAGTGGATCAAAGAAATCCTGCTCTATGGCAGGAATTATGAATACATTTTATTGGTATGACTGTTCCCTATATCTGGGTCAAGAAAAAAGCCCCACTAGTATGAGACCCTCCCTATTCTGTTGCTCAGGGAAGTTAGAGAGAGGAGGTGATGCTAGAGGTTATAGAGAGTGAAATATTTTTATTATGTAATTTGAAATCAAGAAAATGCCCCAGAAGCATTGCTTATTGTAAAAAATAGCATTGTTTTGCAGATTAATATGAACTCTAGTGTTTTTTTAAAAAAAATCTTTGTGGATTTTTTTGCAGATTTTCCGCAGATTTCCAGTGGCACCTCTGATCCCATATCCACTCATCACTAAGGTTTGTTTACATTGAAGCCTTTGACAATAACTGTGTTCATTGTTAATTGTCAGATTTGTAATTCTCGTCTATCAGATTTTTCACTAACTTAGATCATTACATTTGTTACTATGTAAGATCTTTTTATTAATTTACTTTTTTGTAAGACCTGTGCAGAATATCTAACCTTTAGTTTTTATTAGATTGATCTTTAAGCATTGCCTCCTGTCCCCTGTCTTTTAGGAAGATATAAATGCAATAGAAATGGAAGAAGACAAAAGAGACCTGATATCCCGAGAGATCAGCAAATTCAGAGATACACACAAGGTAGTATTCTTGTTTTTTCACTTGATACCAATCTAGACTTTTTACAGAATCCAAAGCAAACAGACAAAAAAAAAAAAAAAAAAATCAACCTTACATTAGGATATAAATTTAAATGCTTTTTAAGGTTTAATTGATATTTAGGTAGAAACAAACAATATCATATTAAAGTGGACCTTGACATTATATTTAATTTTTTTAAAGTTACTATTCTGCAGTCATCTCACTTTAATATGAATAAAAGCTAATTTTATTTTTAGGTTTCAACATAAACATCAAGGTCAGATTTAAACTAGATTCAAGGGGGCAGGATAACATACACTGTAGTGTATTTCTGGGGGCATTTATTTAACTTAATCTTAGGACAACCTTTTCTTTAGAGCTGAGGTTAAAAATTAAGATTTATATTTGTATAGATTTAATTTGTGAGGGGGAGATTTTAAAAAGTAGGTCAGTGATTACCAGACTTACCAAATTTTAGATGCATGGAAGAACTGTAAATGCCCATAAAGCTAATCTATTCATTGACCCCCACCATTATGATAGAGATCATATGGTGACTAATGCAAGATGAAACACTCAGCTTGGAAAGTAACAAGGAATAGGATGTAAGTATGAGCTTCTGTTTTTTATTATATTTATGGATGCCCCCTCAGAAAAATATGCAAAGGGGTAACTGGCTTGGAAATGGGTATTTGTGTGTAGTAAATCTCACGAGTTTTGCCTATTGAAAGCTTCTCTCAATGGTAGTGCATCTGTAAGTGTTCACTGATGATAAAGTTGATTCTTACGGACAGTGAAATGCAAACACTGCATGAAATATATTTTGATGTTAAAGATAGTAAGATATTACTGGTTCTTCCACATAACACTGAGTGACCTTTAATTAAGTGAAAAGTTGTATTCATTTTTTCTTTTATTATTTTTTCTTACTGCTTTCAAAATTCCAAGTTGACAATGCCATTGAATCAATGCTGATGATCACTTATTATTCATGCCCAGTGCTTTTTCAGGAATTAAATATGAATAAAAGCACAAATGCAGTTCTTTCAACTTAATTTTTAGTATAAAAGGGGTAGTATGTGGGAAATCATTTTAGAGGACTACTTTTGATTACGTTTAATATTCAAACTCAGGGTCTGAGTAAGCTTGAAAATATTATGCAGTTGTGTGTGATTTACCCCTTTTATTATTTGTTAAACCCTGTCATGTCATTGGTAAAATATGACAAAATCGTGTTTTAAAAATTTTTTTCAAGATATTTGCTTCAGAGTTTGAGAAGCTATCAGGCATTTGACTGCCTTAGACTTATTTCACTGTAAGGTGGGTGGGGGAATATTTTGAATTTCCAAAATGTGCTTTAACAAAAAGGTCAAAATGAAAAACGGTTCTTGTTATTGGGTGGATGGTTAAAGGAATGTTTAAAACTTGAGTAACAAAAAATGAGCTCAGTGAACCTTTGCATGTTTTGGTATGAGTTTACTAAATAACCACAGACTGTCAGGGTATCAGCGTGGCAGGGGGCGTCCATTTACAGCACGGACGAGTCTGAAGAGAGAATAAGGTAAGATTTATGATTTCTTTCTTTTCTTTCCTCTTCATTATTTCCTTACTTATATCATTTTAGTTTCCATTTCCTTTTTCTTCAGTCTCTGTCTTAAAATACATATATGTGTGTGTATCTATATACCACATATATAACCTTTTAGAAATGCATTTAGTATGGACCAGATTCACTCACTTTTTCATTTACTTAGAACAAAAACTTTCAGTGAGTTCTGAAACAAATTATTACTTACATAAGTGAAACTATACACCTAAGAAATAAGTAGTGCAGTGAATAAGCAATTGTAAAATAATTGAGGAATTCTACAAAAGAAATTATTGGAACAGCTAAAATAATCTGTAAGTATTTATCTCAGAAATAAACAAATTTCTTTATAAGTGTATGACACTGAGGTAAGTGTTATGTAGTCTAGCCTCGTTTTACAATTTAAATTTTTACAATCCATTAGAATTGTTTCAAAAATTAGAATTGCCCCTTTAAATAACTTTTAGTTTCTGTCCTCTTTATACCATTTCTTTTTCTCTTTCCTTTGTAATTTCAATGTATTCAGTATTAGCTTTGCCTGCATTCTACTTTGATACAGACTGGCACAGTAGCTGAATATATTGATTTTTCATGCATTAGCTTTTCTTTCATAATCCTCTATCAGTTCTCTGATCCATGAGCAAGAAAAAAAGAGTACAAAAGGTAAGATTGCTTTTTAAAGTTGTTTTAAATGCTTTACATGACTGAGAAAAGAAAAAAATGAACATTTTATTGTTACGGTTTAAATTTCATTTCAGTGACTCTAAACATGGAACAAAGGGATAAATGTGTTTTGTTTTGTTTTGTTTTGTTTTTCCTGTTTGAGGTATTTTTTTCTTCTTCTGAGCTTGTATAGAAACCGTGTGGTACACTGGTAATCTTGTCAGGGTACAAACTTGGTCTGACTTTGTTAATTTGGTTTATTTGTGAACCATGTACTTGCTCTTCCTCCCAGAAACATAGCTTGTAGGCAAGGTTAATCCAGTGTTGGCGATCCATGTCCTAACACAGCATCTGTAAGTTAATATGCAATCATTCCTTCCAAGGATGGATTTATCACTGTTGATATATTTTTATTGTCTTATAGTCATAATGGGCAAAAATATGTTGCTTTTACAGTTAAGTTAAAATTTTTGCTTGAAGTGAGTGATTTTTCAAACTTTTGAATTTGGTGGGCTGTCCATCTTGTAATGGTGGGAGTAAATGTTTCCATAGATAGTGAGGCAGATCTTGGTTGAATTTACCTTGCCTTTTGGAGGGTGGGCATACCAGAAGACATTGCTTTACAGACCTGACTCTTCTTCTCCACCTCTTCTTTAAAACCCTTAACCACAACCTTTAGGTAGTGGCAAATCGTGGTTTGAAATTAGTATCTATAATCCCACTGATTTACAGAAATTTATAATGGGAAGAATCACATTTTTGCTAAGTGATTGTCTTTTTAGAACTCTATGAACCAACACATTCTTCATGGTCATTTTAGTTATATAATCATTGAGTGGCTAGCCACACTTGACACAATCTCCCAGCATCCAAGATTGGAAATTCCTGGTCTGTGTAGAGTATATGGTTTTGCACGAAATCTATCTAATCTTGTGATTGTTCAGTTTAATTTGTCAAGTAAAACCACAAATATTTAATAGCAAAGTACCAGTGGTTTTGTTGTTGTTGTTGTTGTTGTTGTTCTCCCCAATATTGGGCATTGTGCTGGGAAAAATCTGAATACCGGAGCTACAGATTAACTCTAAAAGTACTTTTATTGGTTTCTAGAAACTGGAAGAAGAGAAAGGCAAAAAAGAAAAAGAAAGACAGGAAATTGAGAAAGAACGGAGAGAAAGAGAGAGGGAGCGTGAAAGGGAACGAGAAAGGCGAGAACGAGAACGAGAAAGGGAAAGAGAACGTGAACGAGAAAAGGAGAAGGAACGGGAGCGGGAACGAGAACGGGATAGGGATCGTGACCGGACAAAGGAGAGAGATCGGGATCGGGATCGAGACAGAGACCGTGACCGCGATCGGGAAAGGAGTTCAGATCGGAATAAGGATCGGAGTCGATCAAGGTAAGGCTTTAAGAAGTTATTGTTTTCATGATAGCTTTAATTGAACTCCAGGTTAACACTCTGTAGGATGACTTGTATTTATGTGATGAGAACTTCCTTAGCCACAGAGCATGCCTGGTTTCTGTATCTATCGCATATGTAAAACGGTGAAAATAACAATTTTAATCTTAAGGATTATTTCTGTCTTAAGCTAGTTTTTACAGACTCAGAACATATCAACTGTTCATCCAGTGCCCTGGGCAGACAGAATTCTGTTATCCTTTGGTTCGGGTGGCCTTTTTCTTCTAGTCACCGTTTCAGTGAGGTCCATTATACTGGGAAATTAGCTCTAGCTTTAGCCTTTGGTGTCAATTTGGTTCTATAGCTCACTGCAAGCTCACAACTAAATTTACTCTCTTATGGTTCCTAGTAATTTCATCCTTTTGGCCGAAACCGGTTTGGCTCAGTGGATAGAACATCGGCCTGTGGACTGAAAGGTCCCAGGTTCGATTCCAGTCAAGGGCACATACCTTGGTTGTGGGCACATCCCCAGTAGGGGGTGTGCAAGAGGCAGCTGGTCAATGTTTCTCTCTCATCGACATTTCTAACTCTATCCCTCTCAATTCCTCTCAACTCCTCTCTGTGTAAAATCAATAAAATATATTTAAAAAAATTTTCATCCTTTTGTTGTATTTAGGAATTTTTTTAATATTTATTTCAATTATGAATATTCTCAAATTCTTTAGGAATGAGGGAGCAAAAATGAGCAAAGGAAGGAAGAGGAAAAGGGAGAGTAGGAGGAGAGAAGAGAAAAGCACAGTTTTGTTTTGTTTTTTCAAGCTAGTTTTCAAGAACACATTTTTGGCTTGCAGGTATTCTATCTGATTTTAGCTGAAGGGAGGTCCCCTTTAAGTAAGTTAATTACTGGATAATCTTTGGTGGTTCTTAACAATTCTTCTTTTCCATCTCCACTGGAATAACCAGTATCCTTTTGACTATCATTGAGAATTTTACATATATAAAATAGTGTTTTTATGCTTTTACTATAGAACAGTAGTATATTGCTTCATATATATTATATATTTGTACTTAGATTCATGACATTATATCATATACTACAATTTTGTTTTATTACTTTATGTTAAATATTTGAGAACTTCTCATTGGTCCTAAATATAGTTGTAATTTATCTGTGTAACATGACAAAATGCTCTTTTCTCAGCACTCTTCTATCTCCTTCATTCCTTGACCACTAGTGCAATAGACTTTTTTGTATTTCTTTTCTTTTTTTAAATATGTTTATTGATTTAAGAGAGGAAGGGAGAAGGAGAGCGATAGAAACATCAATGCTGGGCTGCCTCTGGCATGCCACCTACTGGAGATTGAGGCCACAACCCGGGCATGTGCCCTAATCGGAATTGAACCCAGGACCATTCAGTCTGTAGATTGACACTCTACTGTGCAAAACCAGCTAGGGAAGCCCTTTGTATTTCTTATATCCAGGGTTTCTTGGTTTATTTTCTGAGATACCAATATGCATTAACATTGAATTCAGAATTTGGTGCTACTATTATATTATATTCTGTGCCTCTGATGAATATAGAGTTTACAGTTTTGCAGAAATCAAATGCTGAAATCTGGCTTGTTAGTTTGTATATTTCATAATATATATTGTTCTCTACCTTGGTTTTTAAAGGAAAACAAAAAGGAGAATGACAGATTTTTTAAAAATCTTTTTTTATGTAGAGAAAAGAGCAGAGATCGTGAAAGGGAACGGGAGCGGGAAAGAGAGAGAGAGAGAGAACGTGAACGAGAAAGAGAACGTGAACGAGAAAGGGAGCGTGAAAGGGAACGGGAGCGAGAAAGAGAAAAAGACAAGAAGAGGGATCGAGAAGAGGATGAAGAAGATGCATATGAACGGAGAAAACTTGAAAGAAAACTTCGAGAGAAAGAAGCTGCTTATCAAGAGGTAAATTGAGGAAATGTTTATATTGATAAAGCTTATACAAAAATTTTAGAACCCTTGTGTACATTTTTAAAGCTCTGACAATTTCGTTTTTAGCGCCTTAAGAATTGGGAAATCCGAGAACGGAAGAAAACCCGGGAATATGAGAAAGAGGCTGAGAGAGAAGAGGAAAGGAGAAGAGAAATGGTAATGATCTAGGTTAAAAATAAGTGATTTTCAGATATAAATGAGGTAAAATCTTTTCTGCTAACTAGAAATAACTTTATAATTAAATTGCACAAGTTCCCAGTATAATTTTATTTTATATATTTCAAATAACCTTGAGACACTTTTTTAGTTGACCAAAATATTTTTTCCTTCGATTTTTCACATTGTTGCTGCCTATACAAAATTATCTTTTGGCATACTTTCAAAGTAAAGTATGCCAAATATATAAAATGAGAATTTATAGAACATTCTCTGATTAAGAATCTGCACCATTTTTTAATTTGGAGAAGCTTTGATATTCTGAAATGGTTGGTACTGGGTTGGATGAAAGAGTGTCCTGAGAAGACTTCTGGTTTTATAAGTCAAAATTATTGTCTTTATATACCATTTATGGATTATAGGTTTTCCTTAGGTTACTATTTATTCTTTTGACTATATAATAATCACAAAAAAATGTCTTGTTTTTCACATTTGCTTTATTTGATAAACTAACAGTGAACAATTGATTTAAGTTGTTACTAAGTAAAATGTCAAAAATATATTTTATCATAGTATTTGCTTCAGTAGTATGTTCCATGTGTTCTGTCTTTGCCAGAATTTCATATAAGTTTCTTTATCTCCAGTTTGGAGATTTTTCTTCCAAAAACTTCACTGAAGTTAGGAATCTTCAAATAGTTTTGAACATGAGACATAGAGGGAATTTTTGTAAGTAACCAAAAGGGTGCATGCAGCAACTAGCTAGATAGTATGGGTGTTCTGAATAGTACATCCACTAACGTTATAAATTATTTAAAATACTTATTATTTCCCTGGATTATAGCTCCCATTCTAGAATTTCTTTTTCATTCATAGGTTAGAAAGTATGAAGAGAATAATATAGTAAAAGACATAAGTATTTGAAGAAATAATTGTGGAATAGGTTTAAATGATTTTTGCTTCCTATAAACAAATCTGAAACCTATCTTTCTAGAGAAAAATTTCCTATTAATTTTTATTTGGAAACTTAAAAAATAGTTAAAAAGTAGTTATTTGCTTATTATAAAAAATGTTCCAGTAACAGAACTATCTGATGTGAAAAGTGGAAGTTTCTGCACTCTTATGGAATGATAACTTATGTTTGTTTTAGTATTTACCTTGTGGGCCCTCCTCTTTTTTACTTAGATATTTGTATTATCATTGCTATCTGATAGTCTACTTTTATTTATTTGACAAATTTTGATTGTACATTATATCCCAGCCTTGTGCTAAGCACTGGGCATACAAGAATAAACAATGCTTCTAATCTAGAAATAAGTGGGTAATATTGTTAGGGAGATAAGGTACTTAATATAGTGTGGGTGAGAGTGTTTAAAGTATGGTAAGGTGTATTCACAGTATTTTGGGAGTACAGAGAGACTGGGGGAGGAGTTGGTCATGGATAGATGATTAGATTGGGGAAGTCTTAGAGAGGTAACATTTGAACTGGATTAAGTGGTTAAGATTTTACTGTAGTCAGAAACCTACTGTTACCTGCTTTGTACATAGATTTAATAGTTGTTGATAGAATAGGTGTAGATTATGTATACATATATAATGGTTAGGCGTAACTGCTACTAAATACAATATTTGTTGTATATTTGAAATTACAAAAATAGGAATAAGAGGTTTGTGTACTCAAGTGAGATAGGCATTACCTTTAAATTGATGCATGAACATGATTTGAATTTTTAATCCTGCATTTCACAAAAAGTACTTGTATCATTTACAAATGAAAATGCGTGAAATATTTTTGTTCAGTTAACAAATTCAGTAAGATAACTTTCAGTTTTGTTTACTGGTATGCTCAGGTTTCATTAATTAGAAATTAATTACTGTACTTTGAAGATTATATTCAGGGAGCACATTTATTATAGGTTTTATTTTACAGATAAGTCCTAATTCTGACTTGTCTTATGAGTAAAAGACAAAAGACATATACTTTTTATTCTCATATACTTTATTTAACATATGAAGTATGTGAGAATTATAAAGTTCAAATGGTACGGATAAGAAAAATCTGTTCCCAAAAATGGGGGAAGATGTAACTTAAATGACTTTTCTGTTAATTTTCCACAATTGATCCTTTCTAGGCAAAAGAAGCTAAACGACTAAAAGAATTTTTAGAAGATTATGATGATGATAGAGATGATCCCAAATATTACAGGTATATGCTTTATGAACTCATACTTTTAGCATTTTATTAGCTATATTTTCCCCTTGTCTACCAGAGAGTGCAAATTCACTCAGCAGAATAAAGAACGAAATCTTCATATTCCATCTTGTAATACCCCCATAGCTGATTCTGGAAAGGGACGTTGGAAAGTGGGGAAAAGCGCTGTTGGCAAAGGATCAACATTTCTAGTATTAAAAATTATTCTTCCTGTATTTTAAAGAGGTTTAGTTAGCCCAAATCAGTTTGGCTCAGTGGATAGAGCGTCGGCCTGCGGACTGAAAGGTCCCAGGTTCGATTCCGGTCAAGGGCATGTACCTTGGTTGCGGGCACATCCCCAGTAGAGAGGGTGTGCAAGAGGCAGCTGATCGATGATTCTCTCTCATCAATCTTTCTTTCTTTCTTTCTTTCTTTTTTTTTTTTAATTTATCGATTTTTTTACAGAGAGGAAGGGAGAGAGCTAGAGAGCTAGAAACATTGTGGCTTAAAAAACAACAACACAATATAAAATATATTTTACTGATTTTTTAAAGAGGAAGGGAGAGGGAGAGAGAAACATCGATCAGCTGCCTCCTGCACACTTCATACCGGGGATGTGCCCACAACCAAGGTACATGCCTTGACCAAAATTGAACCTGGTACTTTGCAGTCCACAGGCTGATGCTTTATTCACTGAGCCAAATCAGTTAGGCAAGAAATTCAATTTTTATCACAAGTTATAATTGATCTTTATAACTGTCTAAAGTAGCCTACATATTGTTTTCTTAAAGAATGCCATACAGTAATCTGAACCACCCTTCATTCTCCTCCCATCCAATTGATATATTATTGTGAAATGAGAGTTGGTGAATCCTTTGCTTTCCCTCTTCTCTTTGTTTCCATGGTGTTTTTGAACTACTTTGATTCTAATATTTTTGGCATGGTGGTAAAATTGTTTTTATTTGGCTCCCTCTACTCCAATTATAATTTTCCCTGAAGATAGGGGTAATATTTTTAGTTTTGAAAAATCTCTCATGTGGCTCACATGACCCAGGCATGTAATAAAGGCATTTAATATGTTGGTAAGTTTAATACTCGGGTGCTAAAACATCAGATTAGCTAATTAAATGGAAATAATTTCAAAATTTGATGTTTTTGAAAATGCAAAAAAATGTGAAATCATCGAATTATAAAATAGGATATAATTTCAACATTCTGAGGTATAAAGTGCTAGATGGAGAAACCTGCTTTCTGTTGATTCTGCACTACTATTAGTACTTTTTCCACAGGGAAATAATTTAATTGAAGATACAGATATTTTCTTAATGTTATTATTATGCTAATTTTTCACAGCTTAGCATCCAAGCAAACACAGGTTAAGTGTTGGGGTTTCTCTGTAGAATAGGCACAAAATGAGAACTTTCTCTCTGAAAGCTATTTTTCTGCTTGATTTAGATATTTATTTAGAGTAACTTAACAATGAAGCATGGTTAAAAGTGACAAGACAGTGCTCATTTATTAAATAGTAACACGTAGAGATCACAATGTTTGCAGAAACAGAACATTAAGTGTCTTGAGTCTTTTAGAATGCACTTTTAGTGTTGAAAAGAAAGTGCTTTTGATGACATGTGCATTAATTGATGGTCTGAGTATTAAATAAGGCCTGTTATAATTTTTTTGCAGAGGAAGTGCCCTTCAGAAAAGATTGCGTGACAGGGAAAAAGAAATGGAAGCAGATGAACGGGATAGGAAAAGAGAGAAGGAAGAGCTAGAGGAAATCAGGCAGCGACTTCTGGCAGAAGGGCATCCGGATCCAGATGCAGAGCTTCAGAGGGTGAGTTACTGTCACATAATGATATTTTAAGATCATGAAGTCATATATATTTTTAATATGTATTTATTGATTTCAGAGAGGAAGGGAGTGGGGGGAGAGAGGTAGAAACATCAATGATGAGTGAGAATCATCGATTGGCTGCCTCCTGCACGCCCCCTACTGGGTGATCAAGCCTGCAACCCAGGCATGTGCTCTTGGCTGGAATCGAACCGGGGACCCTTCAGTCTGCAGGACAATGCTCTATCTACTGAGCAAAACCAGCCAGGGTTTTTTGGTGCTTTTAAATTAGGTATAATCTTCCACCCAGTATCTTACCAATTTATAGCCCTCATGCCTTTTTTCATACTTTCACTATTGTGGCATATTGTTAGTCTTGTAACATTTAGGTTGGGATGATTTTATTTTATCTTTCTTAATTTTAGGAGGAATGGAATGTTCATATTGTTATAGGCCTTAAAGTCTTAAATTCCCTCCATTGCCAAATTGTTTGTGAATATAGAAGTGGCTACCACACTTAGTCATTAATTAGGAAGAAGAAATAATTGTGGCCTGGCTGGTGTGGCTCTGAGGTTGAGTGCCAGGAGGTCATGGTTGGATTCCCGGTCAGGGCACATGCCTGGGTTGTGGGCTCAATCCTCAGTAGGGGTTGTGCAGGAGGCAGCCAATCAATAGTTCTCTCTCATCATTTATGTTTCTTTTCTCCCCCGCCCCCCATCATTGATGTTTCTATCTCTTTTCTCTCTTTCTCCCTTTCTTTAAAATCAGGGGAGGTGGCGGTGGGGAGGAAAGAAATGATTGTGTATGACCAAAGCTGAGGATTTGAATTTCCTCTCATGTATTCTTTATACTGTTCTGAAATAAAACTTCTGGTTATACTAGTAATTTATTTTTCTTTTTTAATCTTTACCACATTTTTATTGATTTTTTTTTTTTTTTTTTTTTTTTTTTTTTTTTTAATGAGAGAGAGAAACATCAATTGGCTGCCTCCCACACCCACTCTGTCTGGGGATTAAACCTGCAATCTAGTTATGTGCCCTGACCAGGAATTGAATCGGGAATATTTTTGGTGTATGGGATGACATTTCAACCAATTGAGTCACCCAGCCAGGACTCTGGCTCTAATGTCTTTAATAAGTTATAGAAATATAATTTATATTTTGAATTAGCCAGCTATTTATTTTGTATTTACCTTTGTTAATCTGAAGGGTTTATGTAATACCACTGGAGAATGATAATATTTGTAAAATCTTTTTTTAAAAATTTCAAAGTATCTTCGTCTACAGAATTACATAGCTTTCTGATTATAGAAGCAATGTTTTTCAGTATTCTTAATTAAAAAAATAGATTTTTATAAAGATAATTAGAGGCCTGATGCACCAAATTTGTACAAGGGTCTTGGCCCTGGCGCCAACCCGTCGCTGAGGCCAGGGCACCTCTGCCACCTCTGCTCTGTCCTGGCCTGTTCCGGCTTTGTCCGGAAGGACATCTGGTCTAATTAGCATATTATGCTTTTATTATTATAGATATAAAACAAAAAGCCAGTTGAATGGAGTGTAGTTGTGGTCTGAGTTAGATTATTTTTTTATTTTATTTTAGATGGAACAAGAGGCTGAGAGGCGCAGACAACCACAAATAAAGCAAGAACCAGAATCAGAAGAAGAGGAAGAAGAGAAGCAAGAGAAAGAAGAAAAACGAGAGGAACCTGTGGAAGAGGAGGAAGAGCCAGAGCAGAAGCCCTGTCTTAAACCAACTCTGAGGCCCATCAGTTCTGCCCCATCTGTTTCCTCTGCCAGTGGCAATGCCACCCCCAACACTCCTGGGGATGAGTCTCCCTGTGGTATTATTATTCCTCATGAAAATTCTCCAGATCAACAACAACCTGAGGAACATAGGCCAAAAATAGGACTGAGTCTTAAACTGGGTATGTTAGCATTTGTTTCCTTCTTCATTTTCCCCTCTGCAAACACCTGAATTTTGCCTTAAGGAAAAATAAATTAATGTGCTGCTTGGTAGGTAGATAGAAAACATTCAAAAATGCCTTTCTAGCTCACTATTGTTTTCATAGTTCTGCTAGTGCTCCTATATCTGCAGCGCCTCGAGTACTGAGAAGAAATGAAAAGTTAAATTTTCTAACACTTGTGAGTAGTGAGTTATTTTTTACAGTTGGGATCTTTCTCTGAGATTTGTGGAAGTATATTTTGCACTGTTTTTGAGGGGATGGAGGGTTATAAAAATGTAACATTTCAAAATAAAGTCATCATACTAATAGATTATTTTTACTATAGGTGCTTCCAATAGTCCTGGTCAACCTAATTCTGTGAAGAGAAAGAAACTTCCTGTAGATAGTGTCTTTAATAAATTTGAAGATGAAGACAGTGATGATGTACCCCGAAAAAGGAAACTGGTTCCCTTGGATTACGGTGAAGATGATAAAAATGCTGCCAAAGGCACTGTAAACACTGAAGAAAAGCGCAAACACATTAAGAGTCTCATTGAGAAAATCCCTACAGCCAAACCTGAGCTTTTTGCTTATCCCCTGGATTGGTCTATTGTGGACTCAGTGAGTAGTAAATTATATTTCACCATTTTATTGTAAGTAGTTTTGAATATAGCATACAAATTCAGTTGATACCATTAATGACAAATAGTGATGATAATGTAGCTGGAATCTTGACATTGCTGAGAATTTAGTAGGTTATTGGAGAAATTAGTGGTGGTACTTGAAGTCTTCATAAATCAGAAGTAAATATATATCTTGATATATACCTCTTCCAGTGTGAAAGATTGTTTTAATGTTATGAAAAAAAAATCACAACTTTGTAGACTTTAAGTGTAATAAAAATTTTCTTAAATTTAGTAACCGTACTTTATTTTTCAGATATTGATGGAACGGCGAATTAGACCTTGGATTAATAAGAAAATTATAGAATACATAGGTGAAGAAGAAGCTACATTAGTTGATTTTGTTTGTTCTAAGGTTAGTCTTTTTTTCTCTCCATCCCCAACACTTGTTTTATACTTTAAAATGTTAGACACTTTCCAAAATGAAATACCTTGCAGGGTTAAGACCATGATAGTTTAGTTTCAGTTAAGAGATTCATGGCCACTTAAATGAATTTCTTCACCCTATTTCAGACCCCTATGCTGCCTGGTTTCATTTCAGAGGGTCAAAGAGGGTAGAATTGCTGGCTGCTGCTAATTTTGCGCTCTCCCTGCCCTTGAGAATGCCTTGCCCCACCCCCTTCTTGTCTTATTGGTTAGAATGGTGTTGAAGTACAGTTGAGGTGTTGTGGAGATAGCTGATAGCATGTCTCATCAGTTTCTTTGTCAGTCATCCATCCTTTGGAGGAGGAACAAAATAGTTTTCTTCAGAATATAACCTATATATAAAAGCCTAAGTGACCATTACGACCAGACAACCAGAATAACCGGTCACTGTGACGTGCACTGACCACCAGGGGGGCATACACTTAAGACAGGATGTGCCCCCTGGTGGTCATTGCTCTCCCACAGCCAATTTCCCCTGGCCAGCCAACCTCCCCCAGTCCCTCCCCTCGTTACTCCCCTAGGCCAGCAGGCCATATACCTTCCTCCAGCCAGCAGGGCACAGCAGCCGGGAAAGGAGGAGGGGGAGAGGCAGAAAACCACATGGTGGTGGGGTATCAACGCCAGGCGTCTGGCCTCCTCTCCTGACCCTGCTTTGGGGCCTTTGGGCCCCATGCTGGGGTAGGGAACCGAGGGTGGGTGGCAGTGGACACAACCCCTTTCCCAGGGGGCCAAGAGCTGGCTCCCTCTTTGGGGACAGTGGCCTACCTCCCATGCCCTGTTTTCCTTTCCCACCCCTGGCCAGCAGGCCTCAATTGGTGCCTGCCCATCGCAGTGTCGGTGCTGCAGTGAGGGAAGAAAAGGGAGTGGGGGTCAGGGAACCACGATAGTGGCGCCCACTGTCCATTCCTTCTGCGCCCATCCTGGCAACTGTTGCCTCCTCTTGCAACCCTGCTGGGCCTTCAGGGCCCCAGCTGGGATTTGTGACATCAAATGTGGACCCTTTTTCAGGGAGGCCATGGGCTGGCTGCCAATCTCCCACAGTCCCTCCCTCTCTGTCCTTCCCTGCAGCAGGCAGGCCCTGATTGATCCAGCCCCAATCGGTCTGACCCTGATCGGCTCTGAATATTGGCCAGACTTAAAGTCCCCACCCAAGCATGAATTTCAGGCACTGGGTGGGCCTCTAGAATTTATTGATTGATTACTATGTGGTGGATATCCTCTTTAAACTCCCCCAATCTTCTTAAAAACCTCCCAACAAAGAAAAGTGTAAGTTATAAGTATCTTCTAAGACATCACAGTAGAAGTATCAGATTTCTGGAAAGGAATAACTAATTACATTTAAGAAAATGCTATTTTTCTCCCTAAGGAGTAGCAGATTTAGGTTGCCTTTTACAGTTATAATTATTGTAGCATTAAAACTTGTAAGACTGGATTTAAATTATAAGACAGATATTATAGAGATTAAGGGCCCAAGTTATAATGTCAAATTTCCATTCCAGAGAGTGGGATTTGGGGAGTTAAGAAATTTATAGAAAGATTATTCATCCACAAAAAGTTTCCATACTAGTTTGAAAGAATCTTAAAATTACTTGACTATCTTGCTGTTTTGGTTGGTTGATAGGTTTTTATTTATTTTAAAAATTATAATTTTTTATTTCTTTTAGGTTATGGCTCATAGTTCACCCCAGAGCATTTTAGATGATGTTGCCATGGTAAGTTGTTATTAATACATTTATTTACATATGTATATATTAAAATACATTTTTATTGATTTTGAAGAGAGGAGTGGAGACAAACATTCCTGAGAGAGAAACATTGATCTGTTGCCTTCTGTGCTCCACCTACTGGGGATCTAGCCTGAAGTTCAGGCATGTGCCCTAACCAGGAATCAAGTTGTGATTCTCCTGGTTCATGGGCCAACACTCAACCACTGAGCCACCCTGGCTGAGCTTATTAATACACATTTTTAATTTATTGATTTGAGAGAGACATTAACTTGTTCCACTTTATATATGCATTCATTGATTGATTCTTATAGTGCCTCATCAAACCCACAGCCTTTGGTGTATTGAGATGATATTCTAACCAACTAAGTTACATGGCTAGGGCTGTTATTAAATAGGTTTGTAGAATAATATTAGAGTCACCGCAATCCTACTGGGATCAGGCCTAAATGGGCAGTTGGACATCTCTCAAGGTCCCAGATTGGAGAGGGTGCAGGCTGGGCTGAGGGACACCCCCCCACCAAATTTTGTGCACTGGCCTCTAGTTGTAATACACTTGCTATGATATGGGGATATGTAAAAAGGGGCAGAGGAGATACAGCATCTGATGGTGTTGAGACTAGACAGGGAAAGCATCACAGGAATTACCATCTAAATTGAGACTTGAAGATTCTATGGATGTGTTGCCATTTGGAAAGGTAATGTTGGAAGTAGGAAATACCAAATTCCCAATTGCATTTAATTTGGATATTACAATAGAGTCAGTGATTGCATTTATCTAATTTGTGGCTTTGTGAGAAAAAGGAGGAGGAAAAATATTGATGGTAAAGGTAAAAGAGTGATTGAATAGTCTTTGAACCCTGAACTAAGGGGAAAAGGAAATACTATTGGAATTGAGCTGGTAGTTTGAATCTGGACTGGAAAATGTGTTGGAATGAAACAACTGGAAAGTTACAGTCAGAGAGTAGAATGTTTAAGAATACAAGTGGTGGCCTGGACAGTGGTGAACATTGACCAATGAACCAGGAGGTCACGGTTCGATTCTTGGTTGGAGCATTTGCCAAGGTTGCTGGCTCCATCCTCAATGATTCTCCCTCAGCATTAGTGTTTTTATCCCCTCTCTTTCTCCCTTTTTCTGAAATCAATTATATATATATATATATGAATACAAGTTCAGATGATGTCAGGGTGACTATAACATTATTCTACAAACCTTCATGGTAGTGATACCCTGAAGCTTAGTCACAGCTGCTTCCTGAGAAGGAAACATGGTATTCCATTTTACCTCACTACAGCTCTGGTGTGGAGGGCTGACTATGTGTGAGATGAGTGCAGGAGGATATGATGTACCTAACTCATGCAGATAGGAAGATAATTTGATTTATTTGTCAAAAAGATAGGACCTTTAATTTATTCACTAGTCTTGAGTTCCTTTGTAAGATGACTTTTTGCTTTCTCTGTTTATTGTATCTCAGACACTGTATTAAATACCATACATATATTCTCATTTAATACTTATATTAGTGTCATATACATAAGGACTCCATAATATTAAGATTCTTGTTTTGGGCAATAAAGGTGATACTCTGTATTAAAGTTATTAAGTAGTTGTATAACTAGTTCTGCCTAAATTACTATATCCTTTTTTTAAAAAAAAAATACTGTATTTTTTATAAAAAAGCATTTGCTTCCCTTAGGATATAGTTTTTCAAAACATGCATAAATGTACTATTTGTAAAGATAAGAGAATAAAAGTTGCATCAAGAAAATACTGTGGTGTCAGTATTCAGTAAGCCATGAAATTTTGCTGAATGTATTTTTATAGTTTATGTGTACCACATTTCTCACACTAGACAGATTTTTTTTGTTTTTTTATTGAAAGTAAATGCTTGTCAGTGGGTAAACACCCTTTTTATAACAGTCTCTATTGTTGGGAGATGCTGATTGCTTATCTTACATATATTGCTGTTTTTTCCTCCCTCCTAGGTACTTGATGAAGAAGCAGAAGTTTTTATAGTCAAAATGTGGAGATTATTGATATATGAAACAGAAGCCAAGAAAATTGGTCTTGTGAAGTAAAACTCTCTGTACATTTAGAGTTCCATTTCAGATAACGTCTTTCCCATCCTTCAAAGGACCTTGAAAAATTTTTTTGTCTTCAAAGACATTTGTGATATCTGTAATTTTTTTTTGATGTAGAAAATGTGAATTTTTTTTTTTTTGTTCTCCAATTTGTTGATGCCCTGTGTACTCCCTTGGTTGTAAAGACATCCGAATCCTACCTTGGTTCTCTTTATACTCCCCAGGTACAAATTACTGGTATGTTTTATAAGCCACAGCTACTGTACACAGCCTATCTGATATAATCTTGTTCTGCTGATTTGTTCCTTGTAAATATTAAAATGACTCCCCAATTCTTTTGCAGAATTGCACTTAATATTGAACTATTCTGTATAGGAACCAACATGAACAATTTTAATTGAAAGAATACCAGCCACATCTATTATCCTTATCCCCTTGATCAGAATTGGCAAGCTTTCATGAAGGCAATTAGAGTGTGAAAATTAGGAGACCATCCATTCATTCCTACTGTATCTCTGTGTGAATGTATATATAAAAGTATTTTCCCTAATTTGGTTGGAGGGCTCCCTTGAACATTTTCTAATTGAAAAATATAATTGTAAAAGAAACATGGTATTGTGCCAATATCCAAATTTCTGGGATAATTAGGTTAATAGTCTCCCAGAGCATGTTGTTCTCTTATGGCAAGAAACAGTCTGTTGAATAGAATGGGGTTTTCCTGTTAAAGCTGGCTGCTTCAGCCCCTCTTTTACAAGCATGTGAATCAGTGGTTCCCCTCCCTTCCCTATCCCCCACCCCCATCTCATTGTTCAGAAATGAGGCAGATCCTGGAGAACTTTATTTAATGCATTTTTGCACTGATTGGCCCTTAGCTTAATTTTGGTGTGCCCCTTTGCATAAAAAAATAAAATAATAAACATAAGTGAAAAATACTTTTTAAAAACAAAAAGATAAAATTAGGCCATTTTACAGACTAGGAAAGTTTGACAATATACAATAAAATTTTAGCATGGCATTTTATAAAAGTTTACATCTTATTTTTAAGGATAAAGTAAATCATTTAAGGCAGTTACCACTAATATTTTGTTTTGTAAAGGCTTGATAGCTTGTGTGTGTGTATGGAAGCACACACCTTGTTACTCTGCTCATCAAAGTTTAAAAATACATTGATGGTGTTAGACACACACATGGGGCTTTTTAAATTGTACATCAGAACTTCACCAGGGAGCAAAATTAATTGAAAATATAACAAGTTTTAAACAGTTTTAAATACAAAGTAGTTGCAGCTATTTCATGTCTAAGTATTTATTTAAAGATAAAGATTGGAAATAGGAAGACAAAGCTTAATGGAGCTTGAGTTACTAGATTTTTTTTTTTTTTTTTTTTTTTTTTTTACATCTTAAGAGGACATTTGAAAACACTGTTCTTAACATTGGACCATGACATGGTTCCCTTATGTAAATATTTCAGATATTAAAAATGTATATATTTGATCTCGGGGACTCATTCTTTCAGTCTTATTAAATAAGTGGCATGTTTTAATTGTATGGTGCATACTAGAAAGTTGAAATTATGGGCTGATATTTCTTTTGAGTATTACTATTAACTAAAGGTCAAAGAGACCATTTACCTTATTTTGCATTAATCTAAAAGTCTATGGAGATGTTCCCTTTTAGTGTTACAATATTTTAAATTCTGGTTTCTCAAGGAAAATTTCAGAAACTTGCTTCTTGCCATTTACAAATTCATTTATTAGCTTTTTCTCAGATTGATCCTCAGCCTAACATCTTTTTTTTTTTTTTTTTTAAATTTATTTTTATTGATTTGTTACAGAAAGGAAGGGAGAGAGATAGCTAGAAACGTCGATGAGAGAGAAACGCCAACCAGCTGCCTCTTGCACACCCCCCACTGGGGATGTGTCCGCAACCAACATACATGCCCCCGACCGGAATCGAACCCGGGACCCTTCAGTCCGCAGACCAACGCTCTACCACTGAGCCAAACCGGTTTTGGCCAGCCTAACATCTTGTTTGAGCTTTATTATGCCTATTTTCTCTTACCATATTACTACTACTAATGCATCATAGTAGGTTGTTTCATTTAGTTAACATTAGCATTAATTTCTTTTGCTCTTGCTCTTTCACTATATTTATCTTAAAAAGACGATATCTGAAACCCTTGGGGACACATACCATGTATTGAATAATGACTCCAGAGAGATTTGCCTCAGAATCCAAGTTCGCACATTAACATTTCAGTAGCAGAGCAGGAATGATCACAGTCACTAGGTTAAAGATCGTTAATAGCTTAATGTCAGTTAAGTCAGGTTTTGCCACCAACCTTAAACTTTAAGGTTTTCAGATTTTCATGTGAAGAATTGGACATGTATAAACTGCTGCTGTGGGGTATTCAAGTGTTTGGGAGAATACACGTAAAATTTCTAATGAATTGCTTGAGTTTTCTGAGTCATCTTTACCATTTGCCCATAATTGAATTTCATTTTGGAAACCTTGCTTGATCCATATTGCCTATTCCAGGTATAAAAAGTTAGGCAGTTAAAAACCAATATGCTTTTTCCTCATAACAAATAATTTAAAACATGCATGTTTATTAACAGGAGAAGTTATTTTAACTTTTTAGAAAATGTGCTTTTATTGATATATATATATATATATATTTTATTTTATTATTTTTTTTCTTTTTTGAGAGAGAGAGAAAAGGGATGAGGAAGGGAAACACATCAATCGGTTGCCTCAACCTGGGCTTGTGCCCTGACGAATTGAACCGGTGACCTTTTGGTGTACAGGACAATACTCAACTGAGCCACACCAGGCAGGGTTGACGTGTTTTTTGTTTTTTTTAAATAAAAAAAAATCCTTGTGTCGAGGGCTGACTTTCAATAGATCGCAGCGAGGGAGCTGCTTTGCTACGTATGAAACCCCGACCCAGAAGCACGTCATCTACGAATAGTTTAATGTCAGGTTCCCCACGAACATGCATTGTGTGAAGGGCGTGGGGGCGACATGTTCTTTTTTTTAAGATCAAACTTTAAAGTGCACTGCATCACTTGGAGGAATCTTGTTACAAAAGTGCAGACTGACGTAGTAGGGCTAGGGTGGGGCCCGAGGTCAACGATGATGCCAATGCTAAATGATCCAAGGACTACACTTTCATTAGCAGTTTAATATTTTCATTAGCAGTACCAATATTTTATCCTAACAGACTACATAAATGCAGCTTTATTTTCTTTTTGGGTAGATTTTGAAATTTTTTATTTCAGAGAGGAAGGGAGAGGGCGAGAGAAACATCAGTGATGAATCATGGATCGACTGCCTCCTGTATGCTACTGGGGATGGAGCCCACAACACAGGCATGTGCCGTTGACAATTGAACCTGGGACCCATAAGTGTGCAGGTTGACGATCCAGTTAACCAAACGAGTGAGGATTTTTTAAGTAGATTTTTAGAGAGGGAAACATTTTTTTAGGCAAATCAACATACCTATTCTGTATGTTCACCAATGTAATCTCTTCTAAAAATGTTGCCTGATAACAACTCTTAATATTATAGGCTTTATTTCTAGCCATTCCCAGAACATTTTCTCCTTAGAGAACTTCATGTTAATTTGAATCTTGTCATAGTGCTTTCTGATAAACTTGATGTAATAGTAGAAGCTAACAATTTGTGGAGAGTGCTCTTTTAGGTACTCATCAGGCACACACACTGGACATGGTGATAAAGTGAGGAAACTCAAAGTGGACTAAACATTTTTTTCTTTCATATGGAGTAAAAAACATTTTTTAATGCAAATAAATGTAAGCCAGGTAGGTATACTACCGTATATATGAGGCTTATTTACCTGGTTCTTTCTAATGAGTTCTATAAATGTTTTCACCTCTGCAGAAACTGCTGAAAAGTTTTATGTCAAAATACTTACAAATTTTTTCCTGGTCATATTTTAGCCTATTAATAGATTAAAATTGAGAAATAGTTTTTGCTCAGCAATAAATGATGAAATTGATTTGTGAATACCACTGGATATAAAGGATATGAGAAGGAATCCTAAATAGACAATCTGGGTATCAAGGAGAAAACTTAGAATTCAGAAATGTATTTCTAGCCGAAACCGGTTTGGCTCAGCAGTAGAGCGTCGGTCTGTGGACTGAAAGGTCCCAGGTTTGATTCTGGTCAAGGGCATGTACGTTGGTTGCGGGCACATCCATGGTAGGTGGTGTGCAAGAGGCAGCTGGTCGATATTTCTCTCTCATTGACGTTTCTGGCGCTCTGTCTCCCTTCCTCTCTGTAAAAAAATCAATAAAATATATTAAAAAAAAAAGAAATGTATTTCTAAATCCAGGAACTGTTATATTTATACTTTAGACCGAAGTGAGCTTGTAATTACTATTTTTTTAGCTTATAATTATTGATAAATGGGTAGATTTTTTTAAGATGTTAAATTATTGAAATGTTTATTTGCATTTGAATGCTTATATTTTCCATCTTTAACTATCTTCACTTTTCATTTTATTACTTGACTCATAAAAGCCAAATTAGAAATTGGCAATATAAAATGCCCAGTAATGAAAGATCTATAATAATAAAAGCGTAATATGCTAATTAGACCAGACAGGCCCACCTTCTGGGCCAAGCCTGGGCCTCTGGTAATTTCTATTAAGCAAAAAGGAATAAACATTCTCAAGCCATGTTGTTTGAATTAAATGACACTCCCAAGTCTGCCACATCACATATTAAAGTGGTAGCTGACCTTTGAGCAACTGATTGCTCAGGTTTCAGGATTATAAAAATAAGCTCATTTCCTGCTTTCTGGAAGCTTACCATTTAGGAAGACTGGTTCTTAATTTGGATACCAAGAATCCCAGACATTTGTTTAAAATGAGGCTTCTCAGGTTTGCTCCACCTATCAGTTTTTTCCCCCTCAATATTTTTTGATTCCAGAGTGGAAGGGAGAGAGAGAAACATTAATGAGAGAATTATTGA